TTTAAAAATAAATTAAATAATTATAATTAACTTATAATTTTAAAACTATTTTATAAATAATAAATATAAAAAGATAAAAATAAAAAACTCTATAAAAATAATTTATTTTATTTTAAAATATAATTTTATATAAATATAATTTATTATATTTTAATATATAGCTGAGATATCTATTATATTTTATTTATTTTAATAAATTTAATAAATAGAAATTTATATCTAGAGTCTAGAGTTATAAAATAGTCTTTTTTTTTAAATAAAACTGTTTAAAATATAATAGATTAAAATAAAAAATAAATATTTATAAAAAAAATTTATAAAAGATTTTTATAGAATTTTTTATAAAAGCTATAATATTATAATATAAATTTAATATATTCTATTTATTTATTCTATCTATTTAATTTATTTAATTTATTTAATTTATTTAACTTACTCTATTTTAATAATCTGACTATTTATAATCTTCTTAATTATCTATTAATTTCTGATTTTATTAATAGCTCTTTAAGCTATATTTTATCTATAAATCTAAGAATAATCTAATTTAAAAAAAATAATAAAATAAAAGTAGTATATTTATTCTTAATATTTTAATTAATAATTAATATATAATTTTTTTAGTATTTTATAATATAATTAAAATATATAGCTAAAACAGAGCAGTAATTATATATTTTTATATATATTTTTTATTATAAAAATAATAATTTTATAAAAAGCTAAATTTTATTAATATAACTAGAATTTTCTTATTATTTTTAATAAATAATAATAAAAAAGATACTAATTTCTTTTTTAATTATATTTTTTTAATTTAAAAAGCTTTTTTTTATATATTTTTAAATAATAATAAAAATAGCTAGATTAATAATTATTTAATCTAAATATATCTTAATTATACTAGAGCTTAAAAAAATATAGTAAATAAATCTTAATATTAAAAATAATTAAAATAATTAATTATCTGATTTTTAGCTATATTATAATCAGATATAAAAATTTTCTTAATCTGATTATAATCTGGCGGTTAGATATAAAAATTCTAATTAACCTGATCTGACCTGGCTGTTAGCCACTCTAAATATAATATATATTTAATTATAATATAATAATATTTTTTAAATATAGTCTATTATTTAATCTATTTAATTAATTATTTTAAAAAATATACTATACTCTGAAAAAGATTTTTAAAAAATTTAATATAAAAAAATAAAAGAAAATATAAAATATTGAATTTAAAATATAATTATTTAATTAATTAATCTGATTAATCTAATTAAATCTAATTAAAATAAAAAATATTTTTTAATTAAAACTAATTTAATAGTCTATTATAATTAATATTTATTTAATATCTAGAAATTTTAATAATAATTATATATATATTTTTTTAGATAGTTTTATAAGATATTTTTTAATTTATATTTAATTAAAAGAACTTAGTTTTCAGCAGAAAAATAAAATAGTAAGATTAATTAATTATTTAAATTAAATATATTTAATAGTTTAAAATAATAGATAATAAATAATTATAAAATATAAAACTTAATTCTAAAAATTCTGTTTATTATAAATTATAAAAATCTAAAAAAAAATAATAATTAAAAAAGATTTATTTTAAAAAAATAAATAAATATTTATAATAGTTCTTTATTCAGTATCTAACTAATTATTTATTTAAATATAATTAATAATAATTTTTTTTATAATTCTTATAAAGATAATAGCTTATAGAACTAGTTTCTAAGTTTTTAATTTCTAAATATTATAAAATATAAAGATATATAATATAATAAATATAAATAATTTTATTAGAGAATAATATATCTTTTTAAAAATTATTTTATATTATTAATAATATTTTCTAATTAAAATAAAATAATAATTTTTAAGTTTATAGATAATCTTTAAAAAAGATTATTTTCTATTATTAATTCTAAAAAATAAAGAGCTTTTTTTAAAAATTAAATATAAGATAATTTTTAATTCTTTATAATATATATAATCTTAATTCTTAAGATTTAAAAGAGAAGAAAAAGTCTGACTTAAAAAGTTTATCTTAGTTTAAATATTATTATAATTTATAAAAATCTAAGAAACAGAAGAAAAAGATTTAATAATATTTTTAAAATAAATTAAATAATTATAATTAATTTATAATTCTAAAATTATTTTATAAATAATAAATATAAAAAAATAAAAGCAGAAAACTCTATAAAAATAGTTTATTTTATTTTAAAATATATTTTTATATAAATATAATCTATTATATTTTAATATATAGCTAAGATATCTGCTATATTTTATTTATTTTAATAAGTTTAATAAATAAAATTTTATATTTAAAATCTAGAGTTATAAAATAGTCTTTTTTTTAAAATAAAATTACTTAAGATATAATAGACTAAAATAAAAAATAGATCTTTATAAAAAAAATTTATAAAATATTTTTATAAAATCTTTTATAAAAGCTATAATATTATAATATAGATTTAATATATTTTATTTATTCTATTTATTTATTTTATTTATTTAATTTATTTAATCTATTTAATCTACTTTATTTTAATAATTTAATTATTCTTTCTAATTATTTTATATATAATTCATAATCTTTTTAATTATTTATTTATTTTTAATTTTATCAATAGCTTTTTAAGCTATATCTTATCTATAAATCTAAGAATAGTCTAATTTAAAAAAATAATAAAATAGAAATAAGATATTTATTCTTAATATTTATTTTATAATTAATATAAAGTTTCTTTAATCTTTTACAATATAATTAAGATATTTAATTAAAACAGAGTAATAATTATATATTTTTATATATATTTTTTATTATAAGAATAATAATTTTATAAAAAGCTAAATTTTATTAATATAACTAGATTTTTTTATTATTTCTAATAAATAATAATAAAAAAGATATTAATTTTTTTTAAATTATATTTTTTTAATTTAAAAAGCTTTTTTTTATATATTTTTAGATAATAATAAAAATAATTAGATTAAAAATTATTTAATCTAAATATATCTTAATTATACTAGAGCTTAAAAAGATATAATAAATAAATCTTAATATTAAAAATAATTAAAATAATTAATTATCTAATTTTTAGCTATATTATAATTAGATATAAAAATTTTTTTAATCTAATTATAATCTGGCAGTTAGATATAAAAATTCTAATTAATCTAATCTGATCTGGCTGTTAGTCACTCTAGCTGCTGTTTATTAATATTTATACTATAATATTATAAAAGAACTATTTAAATATATTTTCTTAAAATATTTTTAATTTAATAATATTCTCTTATTATTAATATTTTTTAATATCTAACTTTATATAAAATTTATTTTTTTTGATTTTTTATTATCTAAGATTTTAATAGATTTTATTATAGCTATTTTATTTAATTTATTTTTATAATTTTATATAAAATATTTATTATTTTTATATTTCAAATAGAGTTTTTTTTATCTTTTTATTAAAATTCTTCTTTTAAGATTTATTATAAAATAAGATTTTTTAAAAAAAGATTTTTAATTTTTTTTAAAAGAAATTTCTTAGATAAAGAGTTATAATTTTATTTAAGATAATTTTCTAATTTATTTTATTTAAATTATTTTTTTAATTATAAATAAAGAATAATTTAAGTAATAAAAATTTTATTTTAGTATATTTATATAATAAATATTATAATTAATTTTCAGAAATTAATTACAGTATTTCTTATATAAATCAGTTTTTTTTATTTTAATTATATTTTCAATAATTATTTAGTAAATAGTAGTATTAAACTTGAATTTTTTAAATTAATTAGTTAATTAATATTATTAATAATAAGAAAAGTTTTATTAAATCTTTTAAGAAATATTTTTAGACTTTTTTTTATTTTATTTTATTATTATAATTTATATAAAAGTCTTTTTTTATATTTAAATTTTTAAATAATTAATTTATTAGCTATAATAGATTATTTTATTATATAATTTTATTTATTTTTTATTTAGATATAATTTAGAAAAATATATATTATTTAGTTTTTTTATAAAAATAATTATAAATATAATAGATTTCTTTTTATTTTATTTATAAAATATTTTTTATTAATAAAAAACTTTATACAAAGCTTCTTATAAGAAAACTATATTTTAAAAATTCCTTTAAAAAAATTTAGAATTTAAAAACTAGATTTAAAATTATATAATTAAATATTAAATAAAAATAATATAACTAATATAAATAATAATATAAAATATTATTGTAAAATCTTTAGTTAAATCTATAGCTAAGCTTTTATTATTTAATATTTTTATTATTAATTAATTAAAATATATTTATTTATTATTTAAATCTATTTATAAAATACATACTGCTTATATAAATTCTTAAATAATATTTTAATTATTATAAGTTATTAAATTAAGAAAATTTATTATTTTTATATATTAAATAATTCTTAATTCTCAAGAGATTATCGCTTAATAATAATTAATTCTTAATATTAGAAGAATAATTAAATTAATTTAACTTAATAATTAATTATTAAGACAGAAGAAATTAATAAAGAAAAAAAAGAAAAAAAAATAAGAATATTTAAATTTTAAATTTTATTTTTTATCTTTTTTTATATAATACTATTTCTTACTTTATTTAATTATTTATTTAATTATAATATACTGAACAAAGCATTCACACAGGTATTATTAAGTCTTTGGGATTTGAAGGATTTGTATAAGAACCCCATAACACTCTGTGACTCTACTAATATTCTTATTATTATTAATTAAAATATATTTATTAATTATTCAAATATAATTATAAAATATATACTGCTTATATAAATTCTTAAATAATATTTCAAATATTATAAATTATTAAATTAAAAAGATTTATTATTTTTATATATTAAATATTTCTTAATTCTTAAGAGATCTTTTCTTGATAATAATCAATCTCTAATATTTAAGAAATAATTAAATTATATTAATCTAATAATTAATTATTAATATAAAAAAATTAATAAAAAGAAAATAATATTTAAATTATATTTTTTTATTTCTTTTTATATAGTATTATTTCTTATTTTATTATTATTTTAATATATCACACAGATATTGCCAAGTATTTGGGATTTGGAGAGTTTGTACAAGAACCCCATAACAAATATAATAATAATTGATAAGATGACTGTCAGACTAACTCGCTTACATGACCGAGTTACTTACAGATTATATTATAAGTTCTTATTATCTAGCTAGTTATAATAATATTAATTATATTATCTTTATTAATATCTTACTATTCGCAAATGGCTTTATCTAATATTATTATTATATAACAAGGACTGCCTACCTGCAGCACACTATAGCATCTCCAACCTAGGTAAGTCTGTCGATCCAGAGTACGATCCATCCTAATTGTAAATATTCCCAACACTTACTCCTTCACAACTGGGCTGAAGTTTCTCCACTCCAGCCACCCGCCACAGGCTTTTAGCCACGCCACATCCTTTACACATGTTATTTACTCCGTACAGAAGTTACGTACTGCAAAAAGATGTCTACCTAGTAGATACTGCCTCAGGCTCCGTATAGACTCCGTATATCGCCTTGCTAATCCTTGAGATGGCTATATGAGAGTATCCTCCAAAGACCTTTGCCTGCCAATAGATAGATAGATTATGGGATAAGGTCTACAAGTAAAATTAGCGGGGAAGCTGTTGAAGACTCAAATTACTTAAGGTTATCATTATACTATTACTATATATATTATTTATGCTACCTATGTCAGATTATACTGACCTACAAGAAAGCGATGATATTTTATGCGTTATCCTGGCCCCTCCAGAAGTTAGGGTCATATGTGGGTAGATAGTACATGGCTACTATCTACTCCGTGCCTACTCACTTACAAAGTAAGGTACTACCTAGGTAGGGTTGCATTTAGTGTTTACACCTTATGACTGGGGCAGTACTAGTTACAGACCTACTAGCCGTCCTGGTAGTAGATGGCTTGGCGTCAGCTTGTATATATACTAGTTATAAAGTACTACCAAATCGACACAAAGGGACACCTATTATCTACTATCTACCAGGTATGTAGGTGGTAAACAAAGTACTCCTGTTTATTCAGATATCGAGGGGAACACTGACTCGCACTTGATCTATTCAAATTGCTAGCTAGTACTCATTAAATTACCTTAATTTACCCCAGACACGCCATCGTACCTAGCGGAGAAGTCCACTGACCACCAAAGAACCCTTCTGCCCACAAAGATAATTCGGAACGATGAATAATCCATCTGCCATGCTGGAAGCTCTCAATGTTATTTGCCTGGTGCATTAAATAGGTTGGTCATTAGAGCTCTTCTGCTAATTACCGCAAAGGAATTATCCTTGTCTTCAATTACCTCGGGTCGCGTCCACTCGAAGCCCTTAGGAGTGCTGGATACGGAGCCTTATCCCTCATATTGATTCAGGGGACTGAAAAGCAGATTCATGGAGCACTGCAGGCAAGTAAAGTACCACAGAGCGCAAAACTTACATGTTGAACTGGGGCAAGATTGGAATAATGGTGATGAACTACGGTCAGAGTATTCCCTGCTGTTACCTGTAGATCAGTGGCACTTCATATCAGCCCTTGATCGTCTGAATTCTGAAGTCCGAACAGCACCAGACAGTCAGTGCCCCCCCCCCCCCCCCCCCCCAAGAACCCAGCTAGGCGTCAAACTATAACCCCAGGATATGATGGTGGCAGACTGCAGTTACACGTGATCTACGGAGTACAGTGTGCGATGATAAAGCAGCGGTGCTCCTGGGATCGACTGGTCCACTGGGGTGAGAATCTGGGGTGAACCAGCCAGTAAGGGCGGATTTCAGGATCGGAGCTTCGGAAGGCCGTCAAAATATCACTTCCGTTTCCAAGAGTTGGACGATCGAGGTCGGGTCGACTCCAGGGGACAAATACCTACCAGGGGCCTTTCTGTAGACCAGCCCAATTGTCCTGCCATGATGCAAAGCAAACACCGAGTATCGCTCCCAGGCCATCTCTGGGCCCCGGCTTTCCGATAAGCTCCAGAATCAATGGGTGTGTATGGCAAGGGCGGTCTTGACATCATGTATCAGTCGGTCCAAGCACCACTGCCAATGACTGGTCGGATTACAATGCCATAAAGCCAACGTCTCGGAGATGGTCTTTTGTAGTTTTCTAGTCGCTACTCCGTGTGATCTCCGACTTCCGGGACAGATTATTTCTGGATTAAACTGGTACAATCATCTGCATCTACAGCCATGAGAAACTCCTTCCCGGGTACTGGTCGATCCATAAGTAGACCGCACAAGGTTTGGACGTGCTGTAGCGAGCCCTGCTGGGTGGATGATGACTTAAAGGTGATCTCACTGGTTAACGTCGTATTCTGTGTGCATCCACCTGGATTCCTTTCAAGTTCAATAAAGACGAATTCCGGCGCCTGGGGAAGCGGGATGTGCCAGTGGTAAAAGTGCCAGACGGTAGCTTGGATGACCTAGGGGTAGTGATGAATGCGAACTGAACATAGCCCATTGGACCACCCACTCTCCGCGTCACATAGCGAAAGGAGGGGGTAGGTAGCAAGGGGGTGAAGGGACAATGAAAAGATGAAGAGCGCGGAAGCAGCTCCCGCAGAGCAAGAGTGGGACGCTTTAGTAGACGGCTCGCATGAGCCATGGATTCGTCTACAAAATACATGCTTTGATAAAGACAGGGGAAAGCCGTTATCCAGGTATTCGCTCCCCAATGGATCGGTTCTACCCATGCTTCCCCACCGCCCATGGCAATAGTGAGCCAGTGGCTCCCTAGTGGGGAAAACCGAAGACTCATTTCCGTCCGGCCTTCTCTTGCATCTCCCGCATCGCAGCTCTTGCACTTCTACTGCCTCCCAATTTGGGCCCTCGCGGAGCATCAGGCTTGGTGACCTTTGTGTTTCTCGCACGCGCCACACGACGCCGGGATTGGATAGCATCAAGGAAGTCTCTCCTGAACTGTTCCGCTACCCTATCGTCGGCCGCCTGTCCATCCGCATCTCCTACATCCCCTACTCCTAACTCTTCGGGTCCTTCGTAGACGTCCACTGGATAGATCACGTAAGCGTGAGCGATGAGATGGGTATCTAGGGTCCACACTGGGGTCTCACATTTGCTTTCCCGTAACACTTCTTCCACGACTCGATCTCGTTCGATGTCTTCATTTGTTCGCCATCTGCGATTACGCCCCGATTTCTGGTCCTTACCTACGGCGGACATCCTGGAGCCAGGATCCTGCTCGGCGAGAGAGGCATGGTCATCATCCATGGCAAGCCTTCTTGTCGCTGCTTGCGTGCGAGCAATGTTCTGTAATGTGGCCTCGTGGCCCAGATCGATCTCATGCAGCTTCCCCAAAGAGGCCGGTTCGCGTTGCGGAAGGTCGTTGATAGACAGAGCCGACGTAGTATCACTCGTCCGGGAGGGGTCAAAGCCCGTAGTTTCCGTCGGTATACTGCACCGGTGTCGCTTCGCCATTTCGGTTTCTATATAGGCCATCCTTATCTTGTTAGTTTCCATTGCAACCCGGACGCATTGAAGGCATAGGGGAAGGGTGGGGGAACAGTACATATGTTTATCAACGTCGACCGTCTGGCCAGTGTGCGCCGTGAAACGATCACACATTGCACGCATTCGTTCCTTGTCCAGGTCCTCCATAGTCGCGCCTGAGACGACAGCCTGGCTCTCATGGCTCGTCGCCGGCCGCGATGTGGCGGAGAACTCGATGCCGCCCTTTCGAGCTCGGTGAAGCCGCCGGGAACGAAGAGGATCGATTGCGGGGAAGGGGCCTGGGGATTCTTGCCACGATGGAGGTGTGGATGACTCGGAGACATGAGCAGGTTGTCCTGCAGTGGCAGATTGCGCATCCTCCTCGCCGTCAACGTCTGGCCGGCGTCGCTGGAACTTTCGCCTCTTCACCGGCCGAAAGAGGGCGGCCGGGTCGATCTCCGGATCCATCACCGGTGAAGGTCACAAAGGATGCTTGTATAATACAAGGCGATCTGCCGAAAGTGTGTTGTAGTGCCGACTCGGATAGCTAGGTAAGTTGTTGTCCTGCGAGGGAGGGAAGTTGGCGCGCCTGCGCAGCTGGTCTGTCTTGCCGCCGCCGCGATTATTCATACCGTTTGCTCCGCTCGCTGCATCCATCCCATCCTCCCATATTTCTCCGGCATCATCAGCGCTGCCCGCCCACTCGACTTTCCTTCGTACACCTGCCTTCGACTGGTGGTTCCGGCTCGGCCGATCGGAAATTACACACTCAGCCATCTACCCTGTTTGCCAGAGTCGACATGAACCCTTCCATCCCACCTTCGACGGCCGAATATGGCGGGGGTATGTTACTCCACCGTGCTGGCGACAAGGCCCTTGGCGCACAGTTTTTCGTTGGTAGTGCTAACTGTTAGACGTTTGTTTGTACAGACGAGGTTTCGGCGATTGTACTCGATTCCGGATACTCGACAACGCGCGCGGGCTTTGCAGGGGAGGATACCCCAAAATCCTTAATCCCTACATACTATGGGAGGTACTCCTTGGACGGACAGGAAAAGCTGGTCTTCGGCGATGATGTCTTTGTTACACCCCGGCCTGGTCTTTCGGTTCATAACCCAATGGGTCGAGATGGGATTGTGGAAGACTGGGACATGGCCGAGAGAGTGTGGGAATATGCTTTTACATCACGCCTAACGGGCCCCAAGTCAGGAAATCCTCTGCAGAACGGGCTGAACGATGTCTTGGAGGGCGAGCTGCCTACAGATATGGAGGGGGTGGAATCCGAAGAGAAGCTTCTTGCCGACAGCCCCCTCCTGATGTCAGAACCCGGTTGGAATCCCACGAAGGCCCGCGAAAAGACCATCGAGATTGCTATGGAAAAGTGGGGGACCCCGGCGTTTTATCTGGCCAGAAATGGTGTTCTGTCAGCGTGAGTTGCTCACAGTTTAGATTTCTGATTTAATTGCCCCTGCACATCTTACTGACATGCATGTCTACTTGCTTGCATTAGCTTTGCGGCTGGTAAAGCTTCAGCTCTAGTCGTTGACATTGGTGCTTCCAACATCTCCGTGACACCGGTCCATGATGGCATGATACTGAAGCGAGGTGTCCAACATTCTCCTTTAGGGGGTGACTATATTTCATCGCAGATCCGCGCCCTATTCAAGTCAAACGCACCACAGCCGATATCGATCACACCTCATTATCTGATTTCCTCAAAGACAGCAGTTGATGCTGGTCAACCCCCACAAGTCAAACTCAAGACTTTCCCCCCTGACCGGGTTCCAGATTCATCCTATCGGACCCTGCTTGAGGAGCGGACACTTTCTGAGTTTAAGGAATGCGTCGTTCAGGTCTGGCCTGGTCCCAACAAACTGTCTGCCACAGGTCCAAATGGTGTCCCAAATGAAGAGGTCGCGAAGAGCAATCCTGGACGGCCATTTGAGTTCCCTGACGGTTATAACCAGGTCTTTGGTATTGATCGCTACAGGGTGGTGGAGTCTCTATTTGATGCCAAGGCCGCGATCCCAGATCCCGAATCACTGTTTCCCACGCCGTCGCCGGCTCAGACTGTGCCGGAGCTCATAAAGAATGCCCTCAACGGTGTCGATGTCGACGTACGCCCGCATTTGCTGGCCAATGTCGTCGTGACGGGCGCATCGAGCCTGCTTTACGGGTTTACGGACCGTTTGAACCAGGAGCTCATGCAAATGTTTCCAGGTCCTCGCGTGCGGATATCAGCCCCAGGCAACACTGCTGAGCGAAAGTTTGGTTCTTGGATCGGTGGAAGTATCCTCGCCAGTCTGGGAACCTTTCATCAAATGTGGATTTCCAAAAAGGAATTTGACGAACATGGCCCGAACATTGTTGAGAAGCGCTGCAAATAGGTCATCATTTTGTTCGTTCACGTCTAAGTGTTCAAAGTTGGACGGATGTAGACTGGCGACCAAATGTTGTCACAAAACAAACACTCTCATACACCTCCCCTTTAATGTTGAATACTGAAGAATCTATCTGCATTGCGCAGTAAAGTTTTGACCAAGGCTCTACCTACTTTTTCTGCTGAAACTACGAGGGGGGCTATTTCCATGTTTAGGCCTGTTTTTAGCAGTACCACATACTATTAGCTTTCAACCTTCTTGTAGTGCATGACTTATCCACGAACATCGTGTCATCGATATGGTAAGGTAGTGAGTGGATTTTAGATGGGGTCTCCCAGACGGACATTATAAATATCAGGGAATCCCTTAGGCACTATTGGGACCTAGGATGAAATAACCATTTTAGGTGAAGATGTTGGCAGGCTCGGCAATGCGTCGGCGGTATGGTGGGTGATGCTGGACATTCTCTCTGCTCCTGAGTGACGCCGGTATGGAAGGAAGGGCTGTTATTTGTGCATCCCCCACCATGGTTCCGAGATTATCGCTATGGCCAGGACGTTCTGCTTCACAGTTATCCTCGGCTGCATTTAAATGTACCGAAAAGACGTGGACTCTAGGGTCCACATTCCTTTTTGGCTTCAAAGAATAGGTATTCATCACATCGGAGTCATCGTGTAGCCAGGCCATATTCGCTTTCAAGTTGGCCGCGATGGTGTTCGTCTCTAGATCCATGGGAGTACCTGAGTTGTGGGAGGATTCAGTGCAAAAAATACTCCAAGGCCCATTCTTTTTTAGTTGCGACGAGTGGCGAGTATTTCTTCCTTCCTTCTGTGTCGTGTATTCCCAAGCGTCCATCACTCGATCAGACCTAAAATACTGCAACAGTTGGTTCTTCATCGCCTCCCGTCTGAGCGATGTCTGCGCCGTAGCCGAGCATTCTGCTTGAGCTAACAAAAATGTTCCCTGAGATCTCAGGGGTTGCTCTTTTCTGGTCACATGCAGGGGTTTCTTTTGTTCCAAAGAGACACTTTGAGCTTTCGACGTGCGGGATGGTGCCGTGGAAGGACGTGCCGCCGTTGGTTCAAGATTGTCACCCGCTGATCTCTCCATCTTCAATCTGGGCCTCGAGAGCCGTCGAAGCCTGGGAATAATCCCTTCGGAGTATAGGCCACCTGATGGACCGTTGACAGAACTTGCTCGGCCGCGTCGCTTTGTGTCCTTACTATAGTCGCCCTTCTCCTTGGCCGCCCTAAGATTTGGAACACTTTTCTGCATCATCCTGTGGCACTCCTTCGATTTCAGAAAAGTAGCTGTTCCCGGGAGCTCTGGAGCACGAGGCAGAGGTTTATTGGGGGGTGAAGCCGCCGCAGTAATGGATGCTCCCTTCTCAATGAGCCTTTCTCGCAATGATTTTCCTCGCGAAATGCTCTTACATGTTTGCATGTAGGACACCTGGATCATATCAGTGTCAATACCCACGTATGGGCCTGACGGCTTTTTGTAACTGACCACGGATTTCCGACTGGCTACTCCCACGCGCCGCTGCATTTCCGTGATGGCCAAGCCAAGCTGGAAAAGAGCGGACTGGAGGGCGAAGCCTCTCCGGTAAAGCTTTGAAAATGCCACATTCCAGCCCTCCGAATTCGCCAGCATGGCCTTGTAGACAGCAAGCATTTTGGCGGACAACGGGTCGTTTTCTTGGGCTGCCCTTCTAAGATACGCCCATAACGCACCAATTGCTTCCCGGCCTTTCTGTACATCCTTGAGAGCGTCCCTGATTGCGGCTGTGAACCGTTCAATAGCATGCTCGATTCTGTCATTATAATCAATCATGGAAAGACGAAAACTGCGTTCATCCAGCATCTCATCAAAGATGTCTAGGTTCTGAAGAGGTAGTTTAAGATATTGAGTTCGCGTGCGCACGTCAATTTGAATGATCAGAAAGTCCTCCGAGGTCCTACCAATAAATCCATCAATCTCATCTACATGGACTTGGAGAATTTTCAAGACCTCCACGTCTGACTTCGCTAGCCCTTCAAACAGAAGGTGGACTCCAAACGACATTTGAGCGGTGAGTTTCCATAAAGGATGATATCTGCCTCCAGTTAGTGCGCAATGTCGTGGGAGTCCAATGGAACAATGTGTTGCCAACTGCTTGCCTTTCGTCAGCCCTCTGGCGCCATTTTCGACCACAAAGTCGCTCATACTCGGGCCTTTCAATTAGATTCCTGCGCCTGGATTGGGCATCAAGATTAGTTATCCGCTCACTCTTTTGGAGTTCAATGGACTCTATAATTGATTCCTCGAAGGGGCCCTGCAACTGAGGAATCGGGTGCCTTGAGAAATGACCATCGTATGCCTTATGTGTTGGTGTGTGCCCTTTATCTGGCCAGTCATTGGCAGGAGCTGCCGGTTTCTCCCCCCTTTTAGTTGCAGGCGCCATCAATAGGGAGGCGAACCAGAACTAGCAAGACCCTAGTCTAGCTGCCTGCTGTCTCAATCCCAATATAAAAGTGGCAGGTTGCTTGATGCCGTCAGCTTGACGCTACAGCATAAGCATTATAAACTGCTACCTCCTCGCTAAGATGGATATCACTCAAGCTAGATGTGGTTGCGCCCTCTTCAGTGTGCCAAGATGTGACAAGGTGGCTCATAGTAGCATGGTGTAATAGCAGGCGCAGCAGCTTAGGGGGCGACTAGTATGATATATGCAGGTGCTTTCCTGTGAAGGCTGGTGGGACAATGGCGTCTAGTATCTAGCAGTTGTCTAGATGAATTGCGGGTGCCAATAAGACTTAGTTAGAGGGGGGGTAAAGGAGAAATATAAGCACACATCCTTAGGGCTTCATCCGCTTATTGCATGCATGTGTACGGTGGACTCCGTAGGAGAGACGGAAATGTGAAAGGGGGTCTAGGAAGGAACCAATGGACGAGTGGAGAATGTTCCGACCACATGTATCTAATTACAGGACCTTGGTCAGCCCTCATCAGAATCCAACAGACGCAGCAAAAGGGGGCCGTAAGTCATCGGAGTCGGAGTCGGACTGTGCAGCTATTGGTTGGTTAGGTACGCAGTAGCTAGGTACCTTGGCTGACCTGTAGCCTGTAGGAGATTGGAGATGACGGTAGGTAATAACAATACTCTATCCTTCATCTAGAAGACATATTAACCAAACCCACTACGTGATCTAGTGCATAATACAATAATAAAGCAACAGGGTCATGGACACCAATAAGGTCCTCTGCCCTTGTCTCTGGGAGATAATACTTTGTAATGACCTGCTACCGTGCTACGTACCACCAACTCCACTTCGCCCCCCCCCCCCCCCCCCGACGCGAACCACTTTATCTACGCCAATCCTGGTTTGTAATATATCACATCAGAGATACTAGTAAATATTATTATGCTGCCTGGCCTTTAGGTCCAGACTCCAGTGGTAAGATGTATTCCAGATTGACAATTCAATAGAGAATATCTACTGGAGTAACTGCTATCATTTCTGATAAAACATATGAACATAATGACGTTACAAGATAGGGCTCTAGCCTAAGAGAGAGGTTATATCATTTACTCTGTACTATCTACGGGGTACAAAAGCCCAATATAATAACATAAGATAATTCAAAGGCAGACCGGCAGAGAGGTCAAAATGGTGCCCACTGGATACGACTCACACACCGACCAATCCGCATATAGTTTCTGTCCCCACATGTCAAGAATCGAATCGTCCGTAGTATCTATCTAGATAGCTAGACAGCGGGCACCAACTTGCGGCATGTACGGTATGGAATGCGGGTAGATCCAGTAGACCTTGCAGACCACAACCGCAAATACCTAGTACCTACTAGGTGGTAATCTCATACAGAGTACGGAGTGTTACTTAGTACTACAGTAATAGTACTCCGTACAGAGTACCGTCATAGGTACCTTGGTAATCTGTTAAGGACGTACCGCTCTGCAAACTGACGCGACTGCAACGCGTTGCCAGAAACACAGTGGAGGTAAGTAGTACTTACTAGTGTTGTGATACTTGATACTCCGAAACTGAGTCCATGGGTTAGCTTATTGTACTCGAGCATTGATTGCTATCTTTCTCTGCATCTTCTTGCCTGATCGACTTCCACCTCGCATATCTATCTGTCTTTTAAGTCCTCTCGAAACTGCTCTGCTTGGTATACACCCTTTCACAATAACTTGCAGAAAGCCATCAAATTCTGTTTACAATATGGCTGGTAAAGCGGGAAACAAACGCGATGCCAATCATTTAAGAGCACCAGCAGTCGACTCAAAAAAGCCCAAAACGAATAACGGGAGTATCACGTCATTCTTTGGTGTCCCCAAACCTAAGGTCATTGGTCCCATACCGACATCCACGCCGTCACCATCATCCAGCTTCAATAAGCTAAAATGGGTATCATCATTGACTTCCGAGCAGAAGGAGCTGCTTCAACTTGAGATCGACACTTTGGATGAGAGCTGGCTGGCACAGCTAAAGGAGGAATTGGTGAAACCGGAATTTCTAGGACTGAAGCGATTTCTCTGCAAAGAGAGACAGTCAGGAGCTAAAATCTTCCCCCCAGAAGAGGAGGTCTACTCTTGGTGATACTCCTTTATCTTACTCGAGCGTAGAGATCTCGCATCCAGTGGCTAATCATTTCTTAGGTCCCGTCATACACCTCTCCACCAGGTTAAAGTGGTCATAGTTGGTCAAGATCCGTATCACAACTATAACCAGGCCCATGGACTCGCATTTTCTGTCCGCCCCCCGACCCCAGCCCCGCCCTCACTTGTCAATATCTTCACTGAAATTAAGAACGACTATCCCTCTTTTCAGAGACCCGCCAACAAAGCTGGCCTTCTCACACCCTGGGCAGAGCGTGGTGTTTTATTACTCAACACCTGCTTGACTGTTCGCGCCCACCAGCCTGCTAGTCATTCTAATAAAGGATGGGAGATATTTACTCAGAAGGTCATCGAATTGGTAGCCCGGGTGCGAACACGTGGTGTTGTCTTCCTTGCATGGGGTACACCGGCAGGCAAGCGTGTGATAAGCATTAACAGAGCAAGGCATTATGTTCTGCAATCAGTTCACCCTAGCCCCTTAAGTGCATCAAGAGGGTTTGTAAGTAGAGACACTACTTATTCATCGGCCATATCTCTTCTGACAGACTTCTTGTTTTGCAGTTTCTGAATCAACATTTCAAAAAGTGCAATGAATGGCTAACCGAACGCTATGGTGCTGATGGGGCCATTGACTGGAGCTTGAGCTCTAAGAGAAATACCAGCAATCCTCTTGCCATGATCCAAAACCCTGATCCAGCTGATAACTCCAAATCCCCCGCCGCGAAGGATTCGGGTTTTCATTTATCAGAAGACGTCATCGGTGGGACAGTAAAAGCAGCCGATGGGTTTGAAGATGATCTTGAGGCGCTGGAAGCTTTGGCAGCAGAGATGACCGGATAATTGCCAATACTGGTGATAGGCGTCGTATTGCTCTATACAAAAGGGCTTCGAATGCAATATCCAAGGTGATTAATAACTTATTCATGACTGAATCTTTGGTAGACTTGTCGGGATTGACTAAATTTATAACATATTTAATGGTATTTTACTGCTACTTACTGCTTACTAAGGATTTAATACTTAATTTCTGTGTCTACTTTCTTTAAGTATATTTAACAGCAAGAATAAAAATTCTAATAATTTCTTTTAATATATATTATTTAGTATAGAGTAGAGTACTATACTTCTCTTTTAAAAAGAAAATCTTAGAAATATAACTTTATTATATAAAAAATATATATATATACTTCTTCTTTTACTGTCTTTGTTAAATTTAGAGAAAGCTGATATAATAAAGTAAGATCTTATTATAATATATCTAGTGTGTTGTAGTTTTAGTCAGTCCCGACTTGTCCGTAACCCAATGGAGAGAAGGCTTTGACAGCGACAAATAGGAAAGAAAAACATAACCATTGCAGTGACCAACAGCTCAGTGCCAACATTTGTCTTTACATCATGTGACTCTATTTCCACAATCTTACCTAAAAAACTTGATGTCTCAGGCACTCCCCTGTAATATATCTCGGTGTTTATACCATTCCCCGCAGAGCACGCCGGAGTGTCGACGGCCTTACTTCTATGGAGAAAATGATTCCGGGAGACTTGCTCTATGCAGTGAGCGATCATGCCCTATACAAACATTCTTATATTTTGTGAACTACAGTGCGCCAAACTTCTGCATTGAAGTACAACATGGGCATGTCTCAAATCCAACCTGGTTTCACGAATGGGTAAAATAACACCCGGTGTTTAAGTAAAGACGCGCAATTTCCATTTCAGATAATACACCAGTGAGGATTGTATTAAAAAATAAGACTAGGATGGAAAATAGGCTTTCTTATTATTGCAATAAAATAAAGGCGTTGAAACCGGTGATAGGGTACAGGATAATAATGGAAGATTAGATCTTGAAGACCCTTTACAATTCATCATGCTCTGCCTTATCTTCCGCGGTAGCAGCCGGAGGCTTGGCATGAGTCGCAGATGCAGAAGCATCTGTCACATCACCGCCTTCCACAGGTTTCTCACGACTAGTATCAAGAGAATCGATGTGATGTTTACCATTCTCCTTCACAAAGTTTGCAAGGTCTTCCACCGTTCGTGAGCCTGTATATTCAATGGGAGAGTCTTTAGCACCAGCCGGGTAAAGCCTAATTGTAGGAAACCCAGTGATCGGATCCGGCACGTCGTTGGCCGTTGCGTCAATCTTGGCAATTGTGATTTTAGCTGCCAAATCAGGATAGTCCGCATACAGAGCTGCGAGTTCTTCGTACTTGGGAGCAAGGCTGTTTGACTCTGGTTAGCTGTCTGCAACTCAAGAATGAGAGGAAGGTAAAAACATACGCCTTGCAATGTCCACACCAGGGGGCATAAAATTCGAGCAGAACATCTTTGTCGTTATCAATGACAAGGTCTTTGTAAGAATGAGCCACCACAACTGTGACTGGTCCCTCTTGGGTCTCTGGAACTGGCTCCGATTTGATGCTGGGTTCAACCTTTCCATCAAGAACATCTTGGATAAACTTCTCCACGTCATCGGCATCGATTTCTTTCGACTGATCGTATGGGTATTTGGCGTTCTTCGCGGGGTCCTGGATAGCGAAAGCAGGGAATTTCTGTGGATCGAGGTTCAAATTTCCAGCATGCGCTCCAAACATCTTGGCGTCAATGGTGGCAATGTTGATAGAACCCTTATGCTTCTCTGCAATGGGTTTCAAGATCTCCGTAAACCTTTCACGTTCGTCCTTGGTTTCAGCAAAGATGTACGCCAAAGGTATCCCAGCCTATAAAAACAGAATTTTTGAGATTAGAATGTGTAAAGCGGCCTGTGTCGAAGGTGACAAGAGTCTCATAATAGATAAGAGTTACTCACCCCAATATACCCAGAATAGGTCTCAGGGCCAATCTCGCCAACAAGAGGAGTGCTGGTAGTCTTTACCCAGCTATAGATCGCTTCTTGGTCGAATTCTCCCTTGTACACGGCCTTCTTCTCGTCAAAGTCTTTGTAGAGCACGAGAGACGGCTGATCAACACCCTCCGCCTTGGCGATATTTGGATCACTTGTAGCGGCAAAGAGGTAATTATCTCTTTGAGATTCAGCGAATTCTTCGAACGCGTCATGGGCTGCCTGGTCCTCGGATGGAATGTAGCCAACTACAACAATCTTGTCCAGTGTTTTGATCTCCTCCAGGTTCTCCTCATTCACAGGAGATACAGCGGGAAGAGCTTGTTTGATCATGTAAGAAATAATGCTAATAAATCACCGGCGCATTAGTACTGTCACATAAACACAGCTCCGTCCTCCCCCCAGCTGCCGTATCCGTTACAATAGGGGCGAACTTACGCTTCTGTTTGACGAGCACCTTGATAAGGTTTGCTGGATTCAGGGCCACGGAAGATCTTGAGAGTCGGATATCCTTCAACCCCTTGGCTCTTGCATAGGTCCTCCTCCGCGGTGCAATCAACTTTGACTAGAGGGATGCTCTTTGCCTTCAGCTCTGTGGCTGCTTCTTCGTACTTTGGTGCGAGGGCCTTGCAGTGGCCACACCAAGGAGCAAAGAATTCCGCGAGGACCAGATCATGTTTACTCAGGAACTCGGTGAAAGTATCCTTGTCGAGTGAGATAACGTCAGACTCGGTATCAGCCGCAATAGCAGCCGATGCCCCGAGAAGACTGAGGATCCAAGGCGCGAAAGAGCGCATGTTGCAGGAAAATGCAGCAACACGGGGAAGAAGGTCGAAGAAGCTCGAGTGATGCCGGCCTTCCCAATATCCTATTGTAAATAGTAAGTAATTGGGAGGTAATGTGAAATAATAACCCTAATCGAGCGCCTGTGGAGAAGTGTGAGGTAGACCACGGGCAGAGCAGGGGCTAGACACAAAGGAGCGATGATATACAGAGGTAGGCAGGTAGTGATCGGTTCTTAAATATTTAGTTAAGGTATGGGGATGAGGAGTTGAGGACAGTCTGTTCTTTCTGTAGTCAGCTGCTTGCTGGGCACTATGACTGGCTCGATCGGACCCGCCAAGTACAGCAAGGGACCTACAGGGAATGGTAGATCGTACTGTGTATGTATCTAAAGTAAATGCTTACTACGGAGTACCTTATGTAGGTACGAGCAGGTAGTAGTAGGCAGTACAGGAGAGCTACCTATAGGTACAGTACGGAGTACTCCGTACCATTTAATACCACCACCTTCACTACCTACAGTATCTACCTACCTACCTACAGTAAGTAAGTAAGTACCTAGGTAGGTCTTCCGTTCCATGTCAGTAAGGATCATGGATATGTAAATATATATATATATATATAATATATGTACCTACTATATATAGTTCTTTACAGAAAGTTTGTATAATCCTGGTTGCTGGGCTTACCTAGAGTGGATTTTTTTAACCTGACGGTTAACTGTTTTAAACAAAACGGTTAAAAAATACAGACACAGGTATAAAGATAAAATACTATATAAATCTCTATATAATTTTATATATTATAATTTAGATTATTAAATATAAAATCTATATTATATATATATTTTTATTATCTAATATATTATTAATATATTATATTACTTAATAGTTAAAAATTAACTAATTAAAATATTCTGAAACTAATTAATTATATATTAAATATAAATTAATTATACTAGACTATATTTAAAATATAAAATATAAATATAAATAAGACTTAAGTTTAATTATATTTTAAAAATATTAATATATAGTAAAATATTTATTTAAATATAGATTTTAAAAGCTTGGTTTTTAACCTGTTTTTCAACCAAAATCCACTCTAGGCTTACCTGGGTGTTAAATCTATTATACTAAAATATATATATCTTTATATAGATTTAAAATATAACTTTAAAATTAATATATATAATAATTTAATAATCATAATATTTTAATATTGAATATATTAATTAATTATTTTAATTATTGTAAGGGATGATATCCGCGGGATGCATCCTTACAAGGGTGAAGCCCACCTCCTCCTAGAGTGGCTAACAGCCAGGTCAGGTCAGGTTAATTAGAATTTTTATATCTAATCACCAGGTTATAATTAGATTAAGAAAGTTTTTATATCTGATTATAATATAATTAAAAATCAGATAGTTAATTATTTTAATTATTTTTAGTATTAAAAATTTAGAGTGGATTTTTTAAACCTGACGGTTAATTATTTTAAGCAAAATAATTAAAAAATACAGACACAGATATAAAGATTATAAGAGTGCATGTTGAGATAGTATAAAGAAAGTATATTTATTATAAAATTAAGATAGTATTTATCTTACTTAAAATATTATTATTAATCTTTTATCTAATTTTTCTTATAAATAGATATATCTATAAGAATTCTATAAATTATATATTATATTAATATAATTATTTTATAAGAAACTATCTCTATAGTATAGATATTTCTTATAATATATTATATTATAAGAATTATAAGAATTACTATTTTTATAATTATTTTTTTTCTTAGAATCTTAGTCTCTAAGATTATTATTTATAAAAAATTAAATATTATTAAAATCTCTATTATAAAATCTTCTTTATAAAAAAATAAATTAGAGAAAAAATAATTTTTTTTTTTTTTATAATATTTATTTTATATAAGCTTATTACAGCTGTTTTATATAGCTATAATTATATTATTATTTATTATATTTTAAATCTCTGTAATTATAGCTAAATAGTAAATATTATAAATATTTTTATAATTATAATTAAATAATAAATATAATATAATATTTTTAATTTAAATATAAATTAGAGCTCGGGACTTAGAATTTAGAATTTTAAAAAAAAAATATTTTTCTTAAATTTCTTTTTTTTTTTTTTAATTTTTTTTCTTAATTTTTTTTTCTAATCTCTGCGGTCTCTCTCTCTAATTATTATTATTATTATAAATAAATATTTATTTAAAAAATTCTTATAGTTATTTATATTCTTATAGCTGTTTTATATTTTTATAATTATTTTATATTTTTATAACTTATTTTATATCTTTATAATTATTTTATATTTTTATAGTTTATTTTATATTTTTATAATTATTTTATACTTTTATAGCTATTTTATATTTTTTATAACTTATTTTATATTTTTATAGCTGTTTTCTATCTTTGCGGCTTATTTTATATCTTTACAATTATTTTATATTCTTATAACTCTAAAGTATTTATATTAAATTATAAGATATAATATTTTATAATTTTTTATTAACTTATAAATATTTATTATTTTATAAATCTGAGATATATATAATCTAATCTAAGAGTTATAATTAATTATTTTAATATTTTTTTTTATATTATATATCTACTGATTTTTTTTTATAAAAAAATTATTATTTTTATTATTAGACTTTTATTTTTTTTATTTTTTTTATTTTTTTTTCTCTCTTTCTCTCCCCGCAAGTATTTATAATAAATAATTTCTTAGAAAGATTTATTTTATATTTTATAATTAATATAGAATTAAAATAATTTATTCTTATAATTATTATTACTACTATTATTATTATTATTATTACTATTATTATTATTATCTTTATTTTTATTATTATTATTATTATTAATACTGCTGCTGTTTCTGCTATAATCTCTTTATTTTTTTTTATAATAGATATCTATCTTCTTTGCAGAATATAAGAAATTAATTTATATATAATTTATTATTTTACTAGCTAAGACTCTTAAAATAATTTAATTTTTTATAATATTATTTTTCTGTATTTTTCTTATAGTTTATTATTATAATAAAAATATTATTTTAAATAATATTCTTACTATTCTTATAATCTGTGGGTAGTAGATAAATAAATTATTCTTTTTTTTTAAAAAATATATTTAGATTTATTTAGAATTAATCTATTTTATAAAATATTAAGATTATAAACTAGACTTCAGCTTAATTTATAAATCTATTTATAATAAACTAATTTATTAATATTTTTATAAATATATTAATAATTTTATTAGATCTCTCTTTTTAGACAGAATTATAATTCTTATTTAATTAAAAAAAATATTAAATTATATAATTAAAAATATAATCTATTTTTTTTATTAAATTTAATAATTACTATTAGCTAAAAATTCAGGTTCAGCTCTATAAAACTTTTTTTATAATTAAAACTAATTAATTTTTTTTAATTAAATATATAATATATATTATAATTTCTCGGGCTTGAAAGTATTTATAATATATATTAATAATAATTATAAATAAAGATATAATAATTATATTTAGATTAAATATAAAATCTATTTTTTATAAATTAAATAATTAATCTATTTATTTTTATCTCTGTAAGTATTTATTATATCTTATATTTTAAATTATTATTAGATAAAAATTCTTACAGATAATTTTTTTTATTATTTTATTATTTTATTTTTTTTTTTATTTTTTAAATAAAGACTATACTTATAAATAAACTTTTTATAAAATTATAAATAATATAGATTTATAATTAATTCTTAAATATTATTCTTAGAGTGGCTTAACCTGATCATTATATCTTAACCTTAATCTGGCCATAATCTGGCAGTTAGATTAAGATATAAAAATTTTTTAACTATATAGTTAAGATTAGATTAAGATATAATTATTACTATAATTATTTATATCTGTTAATTAGAAAGATTAGATATAGCAGATAGATTAATAACTATAGATTAATTTATAATATATATATTTTTCTTATATAAATAATATATAAAATATAATATATATTTAATTATAGTATAAATATAATAATATTCTTTAGATATAGTCTATTATTTAATTTATTTAATTAATTATTTTAAAAAATATATTATACTCTGAAAAAAACTTTTATAAAATTTAATATAAAAAAAATAAAAAAAATATAAAATATTTATTTTTTATATTATTCAAGATAATAATTATAATAATATAAAAATTATAAAAATCGGGTCTCTATCTCTATCTGAGTATATATAATAATTAAAGACTTAAATAAAACTAGTTTTTTTAATTTTAATAATAATTTATTCTTTAAATTATCTTTAAGATTATCTATATTCTTATTCTTACTAATATAAAAAATAGTAATTATCTTATTCTTCTTTTATTTCTTAAATATAAAAATAATTAAATCTAGATTAAGATTATTAAGTATATTCTGATATTTCTTATTTATAATAAAATAATTAATATATATTTAAAATATAATTATTTTAATTATATTAAGATTAAAACAGCTCTAATAATAATAGCAGATATTTTAAAAATTATTAAAAAAATATTTAATATTAATATTATTAATTATAATTAAAAAGAAATCTTTAGTTATCTAATAGAGAATAAGAAATTAATTATAATAAGATTTTTAATAAATAAAAATATTAGTATATTCTATAATATCTGAAATTATATTAATTTAATTAAAGATATCTTAAGAAGCTATATATTTTTAATATCTAGATATATCTTAAGTTCTTTATATATTTTAATAAGAGCTGAATATAAAATAATTTTCTGATTTTTTATAATATATATAATCTTAAGATTTAAAAAAGAAGAAAAAATCTGATTTAAAAAGCTTATTTTAGTTTAAATATTATTATAATTTATAAAGATCTGAGAAATAGAAGAAAAAGATTTAATAATATTTTTTAAAAATAAATTAAATAATTATAATTAATTTATAATTTTAAAGTTATTTTATAAATAATAAATATAAAAAAATAAAAATAGAAAACTCTATAAAAATAATTTATTTTATTTTAAAATATAATTTTATATAAATATAATTTATTATATTTTAATATATAGCTGAGGCGCCTGCTGTATCTTATTTATTTTAATAAATTTAATAATTAAAAATTTATATTTAAAATCTAGAATTATAAAATAGTCTTTTTTTTTAAATAAAGCTGTTTAAAATATAATAAATTAGAATAAAAAATAGATATTTATAAAAAAAATTTATAAAAAATTTTTATAGAATTTTCTATAAGAGCTGTAATATTATAATATAAATCTAATATATTTTATTTA